CTTCAATGGAAAAATAGGAGAAATCACAAAACCAGTTAAATATAGCCTAGAGGGCATAACCTTCCTTTCCCCACAAAACAAATAATGAGTTTGATGAAGGTCAAGGTTGAACATATTTGGGAGCTTCACTCATTTAAGAATTTTAATTGGGGGAGAATGTTTCCTGCATCAGAAAAACATTCAAATATGCAAAAAACACCCTAGCAACATAGACTAAACTGCTTAAATAGTTGAAACTTTTACCTGTCCCAGCTCATCATGACGCAATATATGTTGCAATTCGATGCAGGGCAAGAAGGTTACTGTCAGTAATCAACATTTTTTGTCAGACCTAGCTAGAATCTAATACTGTGCTTCACTTTTGAATAAGTACACAGTCCAGGGTACACTAGGATATCTTAAAAAATGAAAATAGTGAAATACAAGTTACCCTCTAATTTCAGCAAGGTCACCGGTAAGTAGTTCATAGCTGAGAGAGTAGTAGAAGTAAAGCCTAGCAGCTAGAACATCAACAGTCCTCCTATTCACGTTCTTCAGCCGAACAATGCTTGCAGAGGTGCAAGCTTTTGCTTAAAACAACGATTGCTATGTTACTTATGTAATAGACACAGAAAAAGATCCTTGATGAAACAATATTTGTTCATTCACCTCATTGTACTTCTTTTGATCAATGAGCAATATCAAGACAAGCAAGTAGCAGTAGATTTCCAGCTCCAGTAATGGATGTTTTGCAGAAGCTTGAAGTGAAGAGGCAGCAGTATCAACTTCCATATCATGCTCATCTTCGTATCACCAATGTTGAGCAATGCAATGTTGGAGAATATAATCCACACAAGTTTCCAAATTGATGAACACGCATCATAACAACTGCTACAACCTTACACTTTCAAAATAATCACTTTTCTCAACACGAATCGCTCAATAAAGAAAGCCTGAAGCTTTACCTTTGGAAGAGACGAAGACAGCTTACTATGCGCCTCAGATCCCGGAGGAAGAGCGAAATTGAGGAAAGCAAAGAGAATGGGAGCCTTCAGTTTCCGCTGGATCACCACGGTAAGCCTCACGGCTCGCACAATTCGCCTAATTTCACCAATTATCACCACACTGTTTCATTACATAACCCTAAGATTATACTCAAAACGCATTACATTAAGCAGACTAGATCTAAGGTTGAAAGGAAGCTACCAGATTTTGAAGCACAAGGAATGAGAAGTTCAGCGGTTACGCCGAAGAAAGAGGCCCGCCAAATCGAGCATCGGAGATCCAGAACCGCCAACATCGAATCTGTCCTCCAGGCACACACTAGTCGGCTCCACCAAAGGGTCGATCGGAGTCTGAAACATGGATCCAAGGTCCCCAGTGCTAGATCAAGTCGAAAAGTCATCAAGGTTAACCAAATTTTTTGGATCAAATGTCAAATTTGTGCTATTGGAGAACTGTCCCACAAAGAGAACGTCGGCTGGCCCCTTCGATCAGACGATGATGGCATGAACAACGAGAAGGAGAAAGGGAAAGGATACGAGAGAGAAGAGAGAAAAGGGAAATGAATTTTGGCGAAGGTTGGAGTCGAACTAGATTTGGGAGAGGGAATTATTTAGGTTTAGCTGGGGAGGGAAACTCGGAATGTAGAGAAGGAAAATTGGGGAAAATGTGGAGGGAAGTGAAAATAAGGACAGCCGGCTAAAATCAAAGAGGAAAAAATTGAGTTTAACAAATAGTAAATTATATAGACAGTATATAGAAATCTGTATGTATAAATATATTTATACAAACGCAAGATGATTTCCGTTGGTATAGATATTCTCTATACAGATGGATAATAATTTTTCGTTTGTATAAACCTAATCTATGCTAACAGATATAATTTTTCGTTTGTATAGACCTAACCTATACTAACGGATATATTTTTCCGTTAGTATAGACTTGTCTATACAGACGGATATATTTTTCCGTTGGTATAGACCCATGTATACGAACGGATTTCAATCCGTCAATATAGACTTCCGTTGGTAAAAGGTATTTTGCTTGTAGTGAGGGGATGATATTACTCGTGTGGGGCAGCGTTCGAACCCCACAACCCAGGGGCCAATTCACTGGAGCAAAGTGGCTTTTGCCACTTGCTCTCCCAAATGGTTGGCCCCGGCCCACACGGTTTTACTTGTCAAATTAAAATGGCTCTGGTTTCTTTCATTTATGACTTCACACTCATTTTTTTGTATTGGGGTTTTCTCAACGGCTGTTTTGGTGTGATCTTCGATTCTTTAGAAGGGTTGATAAAAGAGATAATTTTTTATAGATTTTTTTAATTTTAAATATATATTTTTAATTAAATTAAAGAGAAATTATTTTAAAATATATAAAAATTGACATTAAAAATATTTTAGTTTGGGGTTTTTCAACGGCTGTTTTGGTGTGACCATCGATTCTTTAGAAGGGTTGATAAAAGAGATAATTTTTTTATAGATTT